TAAAAGAGAGAAAGCACTAGAATTAAAAGAGGTTAGGGGAGGTCTCCTATACAAGGTGGGATTTTAGTTGGGACATAAAGGAAGCCAGAGAGGTCAGCAGTTGAGCAGAGGAGGGAAAGTATTCCAGGCATGGCGGACACGCCCAGAACAGAAAAATGGAGTCTCATCAGTGGAAAAGCCACCAGTGTCATTGGGTCAAAGAGTACATGTCGGGGTGTAAAGTGCAAGAAAACTGCAAAGGTAGGAGGGGGCTAGATTATGAAAGGTTTTGAATGCCAAACAAAGCAGACCAAACTAGACCATTTAAATAACTTGCCTAAGACCACACAAAGTAACTTGATGGCACATTGGATAGAGTGCTGGCCCTAGAGTCAGGAAGACTCATCTTCCTGAGTTGAAAACTGGCCTCAGTCACTTAACAGTATTTGCCTTGGTTTCCTCATCTATAAAATGGACTGGAGAAGGAAATGGCAAACCACTCCAGTGTCTTTGCCAAGAAAAACCCAAATGGGATCACAAAGAGTCATACATGACTGAACAACAACAACAAACACTATGCAGCTGATAGAAGTAAAAGTCAAGCCTCTGGATGTCCAGTTACGGGACAGGGCAAGTAAGGAGCTTTCTTATCTATCAACTTCATTTACTGGATGAGCTTTCTCACTATCAAGCCAATCAATAAATCTTAAAATTAGATGATGCTGATTGTCAGCTCAGCTACCCTAGGGAAGAGTTTTAGGTCTAAAAAATTCTTCCTTCCTCTCTAAAAAGTGGTTTACAATGCAAGAAAAAAAAGTCCTATGCAACAGTGGATGCAAAGCATATACAGCCACTAGAAACATTGCTAAAGTAGTGGACAAGTCAATCCCACTCAAGAGGCAGTTTGGAAGAGTAGATGAAGTGCTGGAGTCTATCAAGATGATAGGTCAGGAAGATCTGGGTTCAAATCCTACCTCAGACACTTACTAGCTATGTGACCTTGGGCAAATCACGTAACCTCTCCCTATGCCTCAGTAACCTCATCTCTAAATGAGAAGTTTGACTCGAAAGCCTCTTTCCAGCTCTAACACAAATCTTTCACCCCATCCCTTCCTTCCCAGGACCTATGAGAGTAAAACAACTTTTAAATTTGGTTCAACTCCTCCACCCCTCAAGTATGGAAAGAAGAAAGTACATCCTTTGTCCACTAGAGCCAGATCTCCCTTCCTCAAACCCCAGTTTATTTTGTTGGGTCTTCTCCTTTCCCCACCCCAAATTTTGAAGTCCTTTGGTAAAATGTCATGCGCCACCTGAGCTTAAACAAATAAATAAACAAATGAATGAATGAACAATTGCATAGTTGAACAGCAACAAATAAAAATCTGGTGGCCATCAGATAATCTCAGGCATCATCTATGATCCCATGAATAAGTATTCACTACGTATATTCATTCACACATTAAGCATTCAATCTGTGTAAAACACTATGATAAGTGGTAGGAATAAAAAAAAATCAAACAAAATACTATCCCAGACCTCAAGTAGCTTACAATCTAGTAGACTATGACATCCTCTGACTGTTGTTTCATGTTTCTCTATTGACTAGCAGAAGAGAATGTCCGATGGAGACCCGGAGCACTCCCGAATGCCCCAGTGTGGCTATGATTTTGATTAGTTTATTGTATCTTCTGGAGTCCATTCTTAAAAGTCTATCTGATATTGCATAGACATAGACTGTCAAATAGAGGCAATGTGTCAGCTGGTTTTGGCTCATAGAGTCTGTTTTCTCTTTTAAAAAAACTGTTACAAACGAGGGCTCCATAAGTAGGGAAGGGAGATGCATATGCAAATAAATGTATAAAAGCATGCCATCAATAAAAATAAAAGTAAATGTAAAAGTCAATTCAATTGTACTAAGCACTTACTGGCGAAGCTCCTCACTAAGACAAGTCCATGATTTCATGCTTTCCCCTCATGCACTTTACGTCATGCTCATGCTTTCTTATCCCTCTATAGTTCTTGTTTATGAGTGTTTAAATTCTTCACAGAGAATTCACCCAACACGTTGGTGACTTTACTATGGTTCATCTACTGTTTGGGCCATATGAGTACTGAACTTTATCTACTTCACTATTACTGTATTATTGGCACAGTTATTTCATGAAATCTTTCCCACCTCTTTTAAAAAATAAACCATTATAGATAATACAAAGGAGATCAGGACATGTACTAGACTTGTAATTTCTCAGTTATAATTTCTCTCAGTTCTCAGATGAGAGGGAACTCCTAGGTGGGTGAGGAAATTCACTTCACCAATTTACTCACTTTTTCTTCAATTTCTTGTTTTAAGACAATTGCCTAAAGCAGTAATATCAAACAAGACCACTAAACTGTATGTATGGGCCATATATTAACTTAGAAAACCACATATTAACATTATCTATGTTCCATTGTAGTTTTATTCTGTTAAATATCTACCAATTATATCTTAATCTCGTTGGGGAAGCGCTTGGGCCAAGTATTTGACACCCCTGGCCTAGAGAACAGAGAGATTTTCTGACTTCTCTGCCTTACACAGCACTTAGCGATCAGGGGCAGTATTAGAACTCAGACCTTCCTGGCCCCCAAACCAATTCTCTGTCCATTACATGAGAAAGATGCAAGAACTAACTAAGAAATTGTACCTAGTCTCATTAGGTTTGACATTTATGGTGAGGATCCAATTTATTCACAAACAACTATACCCACTTTGATAGCTTGGCAATTTTATTCTTGTGGGCTCATACAGCCCCTCACAATCCCAATGATCTCTTCATCCTATATAATTTTTGTACATGTGTTTGCCCAATTTATGCATACAGGACCTACTGAGTACACAGGAGGCTTTCTTCTGGTTATTTTAATATCTTAGGGAAGTAACTATAATGCAAAATCCAATGCAAATCCACTTGGAAGGGGTAACCTTAAACTTCAATCAGCTATTTATAAGCCTGGATTCCAAGCAAGCTTCTGAAAAAATAAAGGGAGTTGAGATCCAAAGTTATGGTGTATTTCTGCTCCGAGTTGGCAAGGAAAGGATGCTAAGGTGATTAATCCTGGTCAGCTAGAGAGAAAGCTTGAGATGACAGTCATCATCAGGAGGAAAAGAGCTTCAGAAAAGGGGGTAGAAAATAGAGAACACAGTTGACATGGATGAAGTGCTGAATGTGGATTCAGGAAGACATGGGTCTGAATCTTGCCTGACATTTACCTGGGTAGCCATGTTGCCAAGGCTGAATCATCACTGATTTCTCTGTTTTCATAACCTAGTGTTGCCCACCCCACCCTTCCAGTCTTCTTACACCTTATCCACTACCCACTCCTACACAGGTACTCTTAGATCCAGTGACACTGGCCTCCTGGCTGTTCCATGAATAAGACACTCAATGTCTTAGCTAGGGGTATTTTCTCTGACTATCCCCCATGCCTGAAATGTACTCGCTCCTCATCTTTACTTCCTGGTTTCCCTGAATCCCTTCAAGTACCAGCTAAACTCCCACCTTCTACAGGAAGCCTTCTCAATTTCTCTTAATTCTAGTGCATTCCTTCTATTGATTATTTTCCAATTCATCCCGTATTTAGCTTGTTGTACATAGTTGTTTGCATGTTGTCACACACACACATACACCCTCCCATAGTGAGCTTCTCCATGGCAGGGACTGACTTTTGCCTTTTTATCCCCAGTTTTGAGAACACTGTATGGTATATGGGAGGCTCTGTTTTTTTTTTTCTGTAGGAGTTGGTATTATTTTTCATTTATTTTATTTTAAATTTACAGAACAAGCATTTCCATAACATAGCATAATAAAAAATTAGATTGTACATGAAACTGCAAATCTATTATGTACAACTTACTTTTAAATATATAATAAAGTTATCACATAAATTTCTTACCCCCTTCCCCACCAGAAATGGCTACCATTAGATGCAAATAGGTATATATATGTATATGTACATGTATATGTATATGTATATGTAAAATCATTCTGTACAAACCTGTATTTATCAGGTCTTTGTATGCAGATGGTGTCTTTCTTCATATGTCCCTTATAGTTAATTTGGCTATTTTTAATAGTCAAAATGACTTATTCATTCATCGTTGTTCTTAAAACAATATTGCTGTTACTATATACAACGTTCTCTTGGTTCTGCTCATTTTGCTCCTCATTATTTCCTGCAAGTCTTTCCATGTTTTCTAAGTTCATTGAGCTCTCCATAAATGCTTATTGACTGATTTATTGCATCTCTCCAAGCCTTGGGTTTCTTCATCTGCAAAATCAGGGTAATAATAGCTGTGGCACCTACCTCAGAGGGTTGTTGTGAGGTTTACCTGAAATAATGTACGTGAAATGGTTTTACATACTCTTAAAGATAATGCAAATGTCAGCTATTGTACTTAAGAAGTTCAGAATCAAGGATCCTGACTCATGGGGCACTGACATCAGGTATGGGGTTCAGAGACACCAAAGACACATTCAGTTACAAAGTGCTTACTTGTAACAGCTAAGACACCAACGTTCTCCCTTGCTTTTCTGCACAATCAAAAATATGGGATTACAGACCATTAGGACCTTTCCATTTTTGAAAGTGCCAAGAATTGGGGGTGAGGGGAGGGGAAACATGGTATTTGTGATAGGAATGAATTAATTTTTTAAAACTGTTACTACTGAGAGCTTTTCTTATTTCTCTGAACATGTGGGGAAAGTGAACACTTGATCATTTACAGGATCTTAAGAGAACTCTATGTACAGACACTCCCAATAATAAGTATTACCAGTTGTTCCCTGGAAGTGTGCATTCTGAGATATGTCCAGAAAAAACTCTATAGTTAGAAACAAACCTATATAAAATATATAACTTTTATACACATATCTAATAAACTTGCTGCCTGGAAATGATCCATGTTCTTACTGCATCAGAACTCTTCCCTTCCTGGAATATTACAGACCAATCAGGAAGAAAGAAAGAGGATCACCCAGCAATAGAGTGAAAATACCATTTTTATTAGAAATGTACTGGGATAAATAAAGATTGGTTGTACTACTACACAAAGGAAGTCATATAAATTTAAAAGGAAATGCTGCATAAAATTTTAACCACTTACTTAGAAGGTAATGCCAAGACTAGAGACATAAGTCCTGGATTCTAATCTTCTCTCTCATACTTTTATTATTTCTGTTATCTTGGTAAAGTCATTTAACCTTTTTGGTTAAATGGTCACCTATAAAATGAAAGGTTTAGATTAGATGATATTTAAGGTTCCATATAGTACTAAGTTCAGTGATCCCTATGACCAGGAGTAAGATCTGGGTTTAAATTCTGACCCTGCTACTTAACTGCTTGTGATTCACTAGCAGGTCACTCAACCTCTTCTGAGACTCAGGTTCCTCAGCTGTAACAAGGGGATAAAAGCTGCAATACTCCTACTCCACAGATTTGTTGTGAGAGTCAATGAGACAATGGCTATAAAGTTCTGTAAGTACACCTCACCATTTTAGAGGAAGCAAATATTCTCATATCCTTAATAATAACAGCTAATGTGTATATAGTATATATTCAGCACTTAACTATGTGCTGGGCACACTTTACAAATATTATCTCTCACGAAAACCTCACAACAACCCTAGGAGGTAGGTGCAATTATTAATCCCCATTTTACAGATGGGGAAACTGAGGTAAACAGGAGTTGAGTGATTTGCTCACACAGCTAGTAAGTGTCTGAGGCCTGGATTTTGAACTCGTCACATCTTCCTGATTTTGGGCCAAGCACTCTATCCACAGGGCCAATAGTTTAAGAGGATTTCCCCTGAGCTTAAAAAAAAAAACTGACCCCTGTGGAAAATGAAGTAGGTGAATCTCAGAAGTGCAATATAGTCATTGCTCCTACCAGTAAACCTTCTTAACTCTTCACCCACCCTACCCCATCCCCCTCACCAAACATTGGAGAGGAAGTTCTGGGAAGGGTGAAGTTAGCTTAGTCATTGGGAAAAAAACCTCTGGTAACTACCCAGGAAGTTTGGAAGTCTGAAAGACGGGGCTTGGCTTTTTATCTAGCTACTGAGAAAGTAATTTCCTAGTCTCTAGGCGAAAGAATGACTATTCAAGGCTTCTCAAAGGGAGGAGCCCTAAGAGCTAAATAAAAAAATTTAAAAAAAATACTACCACTAAAAATACTCGGAGCTCGGAGGAGAGCTTAGTCATCGCAGTGCCAGACCATTCCAGGTCTGGCTGTTCACGTAAAATGCGGTCTTACTGATCCCGGCTCTCCGCTTAAGTCCATGGTCTTCTCTCTCCTTCTTCTCTGTTCCTGAGCTTCCCTCTTTCTTATCCTTCGCTATTCCTCCTTGCTGACCCCCACCCCTATCAATTGTCTTTACGTCTCTCCACCTCAGTCTTCCTCTCGTTTCTCATTTTTTATTAGTCTGTCTCATTCTCTCTCTCTCTCTCTCTCTCTCTCTCTCTCTCTCTCTCTCTCTCTCTCTCTCTCTCTCTCTCTCTCTCTCTCTCTCTTTCCCCTTCCCTTTTCCACAGACAGGTTTTTAGAATTGATTTACAGAAGCAATTAAAGTCAGAAGAATTCATTACTAACCCTGTCCTTCCCCCCATCTCCACGATATTGCTCACGCAAGAAATGAGTGTTTCTTGGAAAAATGCCGTAGCCAGCGGATATGAGCTGTACGGTACAGGATTTTTTTTCACTTTTAAATTATTCATTTTTTAATTCACAAAGGGCTCCATAATATTCTTCCTCCCTCCTCCAATACCCACCCCACCAGTCGCTTTTAGGGGCATCTCTAGAGCACCTAGGGGTGACCATGGAAAAGACTTCGGCGACTCAGGGCTGAGACTTGAGCGGCGGCTAGGGCTGGGGGATGGATGCTCCGACTCGGGACAGCCTTTTAACCTCATCTCTTCGTCCCTCTCTCCCCCCGCAGTGCTCACCCTCAACCTCTGCGCCTCCTTCTCAGTCGGTCTCACGTAGTGCCGGCATTACTGCAGGTCTGGTCCCTGTACTTCCAGGAACAACTGCCTTTGCGATGTCTCGATTTTCTTGTCTGTGTTTACGGTCATTCGCTTGCTGATTTCTCTCTCTCTCTCTCTCTCTCTCTCTCTCTCTTCTCTCTCTCTCTCTCTCTCTCTCTCTCTCTCTCTCTCTCTCTCTCTCTCTCTCTCTCTCTCTCTCTTTCTATCCCCCGCTCTCTCTCCTCCGCTTGCTTCATTTTTCCCTTTTTTCTCTGACCTCCCCTCCACCACCACACCATCCGTTCCCCAGATGGATGGCATTTGTTTCTCGTCTCCTCTCTCTACTCCTGCGAGGATACTTCTATCGCCACCCACCCTGGGATCTCCGCACCTCTCCCCTCAGCTCCTGGCTCTCCAGACGCTTCTCGCCGCCTGGTGTTATTATCTCTGCCCAACCTTAGACAGGGAACTTCACCCCTCTATCTCTGCAGGGGCCCGAGAGAGAGAGAGAGAGAGAGAGAGAGAGAGAGAGAGAGAGAGAGAGAGAGAGAGAGAGAGAGAGAGGGAGGGAAGGAGGGAGGGGGAAAGACAGAGAGAGAGTGTGTGTGTGTGCGCGTGCGCGCGCGCATCCAGACTCCTGTCCAGATGCGGGTGTCCGCCTGGCCCCTAGCCGTCCCACCTTAGCTTCTCCCGCGGTGTTGTGTGAGTGTCTGTGTGCGTGCACGCGTGTGTGCTTGGGTGTCTGTGAGTGTGTGCCTGCGTCTGCAGCTGAGGTGGAGCCAGATCAGAGGTGTTTAGCTCGCTCCCTCCCATCCACGTGGCTCCGGGAGTGCTATATTAGGTTCGCAGGAAGCCAGCCCAGAGAGAAAGCCGAGCCGGGGTTCTGGAGGGCGGGGGAGCGAAGCCCGGCGGACGACAAGGCGGACGGAGGGAAAGGAGGAGGAGGAGGAAGAGGAGGTCTCAGCGTGTCTGCTACACACGAGTGTCTCGCTCTCAGTCTCTCTCACTCCTCTTCCTAGTAGGGCTCACCACTTGCCCGAGGGAGCCGACTCCTCCCCGCTCCTCCCCTCACCCCTACCCCCCAAAACCACGAAAACCTCCTCCCCTCTCCCGCTTACAGCCCAGGGAAGGTGTTCCGGAGAACGCTCCCACCCCCTGCCCCAGCCCCGCCCCTGCCTCCGCCCCTAGGCTGGCTCCCCAGGCTCCTGCTAGCTCCTACTCCCCCACTATTCCTGACAGTTTCGACACTTGGCAAAGACAAAGAGCGAGAGACCACGGGGAGGAGAAAGAGGAGGGAGAGATGGAAGGGGTTATGTGAAATCCGAGTGCCCAGGACCTCACTCCCCTCCAGCTCAGAGCCTCCCCAACCCCTGCCCCCCACAACCACATACGCGTTCACCCACCACCGGACCAGTCCACGAAACTCTCCATGCCTCCGACCACGGTGAGTGTCTGCGCTGGGTTAGTGCTGCCTGCGTCTAGGAGAGGGGCGAACTGAGTTCCGCGGCGTAACTGGGGGTGGGGGGTGCGGCTGGGGGAGACTCAGGAGAGAGAGAGAGAAGAACGAAGTCAAGGGACTCCCTCCGCGTGTGCAGTTGGGAGCTCCTGATGGCCCCTAGTGTTTCCTTCTCTGGGACAAGCCGCTGCTCACCCCCACAGCTGGAACACTGGGGCGCTGAGGATTCGAGGAAAGGTCAGGGGAAATAGAGAGATGGCTTTGGGTACCGATGGGCGCAGAGGGGCATGAGGAATTAGGGGAAGGGTCTAGTTAAGATACGCAGAACCGGCTGTGGGAGAAGAGAAAGAGAAACACACCGGGTGGGAACTCCCAGCAAATAGAACTGGGGGAGCTGGATAGTGGAGGGCGAACAGGGAAACTGGAAGCGGGCTGGGGCAGGATCACAGAGGAGACGATGAGCGAACTACTAGATACAACTGTCTTTAACCTCACACTCTGCCCCCTTCTTGAAATCGATCCTTGAGAGAGCAGGGAAGCAGCTCCTCCTTCTTCCTGGGGTACATGAGTGATAGAGTGAAGGCGGGGGATGGAAAGCCCTCTGTCACCCAGGGCACTGGGGCTCAAAATCCCTGGATCTTTGGGACAGGATGCGGTGGCACGGATAGGGGTGTATGTGGCTGGAGGGACGCAGGCAGAGAAAGCTGGGAAGCCTAAGTTAATTCTACCAAAAACAAACAAACAAACAAAACCAAACAAAAACCTTTTCGAAGAAAGCAGAGTGAAAGAGCTCCGCTCTCGTTCCACTTGGGGCAGAAGTGACAAGTTCGGCGCTGCTGGAGGTGGGGGGAGTGAGGCGAACCGGCTAGGGAGGAAGGGGAAAGACTGGGACTGCAAGCTGTCGGGTTACGGAGCCGGGGGTCTGCGTGTGTCCTAACCTTGGAACGGGAAGGAGGAGAGGGAAAATGGGACAGGGGCTTCGAGTAGGGCAGTTGCCCAACACAAATTAAGCCTCTCGGATTCTGCTTAACCCAGAACTCAGCATCGCCTACTTCATCACCGTTAGATGAAGCGGCTGCTCAGAAAAGGCAGGAAAGCTTAGTAACTTAGCAACTTTCTTTCTCCGTCCTTTCTTTTTATCTTCCTTTTCCTCCCTTCCCAACTCCCTCCACCTCCTTTTTCACTTCTGCCCTGGAGTTTGATTCCCCCCGCCCGTGGGGGGGGGGGGAACGAGGGGAGGGAGTAAGGTTCGCTTAGCTGTTTGGCTGCCAGTGGAGGCCAGTAGGTGTGACCCAGCCAAAGCTGGGGTTGGGAGCTCCCAAGAGTGGTGTAGCTTTTAGAGCCTGACTTCTCAAATCTGGCAAGACTAAGGGGGCTGGAGTGTTGGAACTCTCTGCACGAGAAATGGGGCAGATTTTTCTTTTCCTTTAAGTGGATATTTGAGGCTTTGGATCTACTTATCACCTTGCTCAACGCAGGTAACAGCTCTGCAGTCTCCCTTTTCTCAAATTCTCCACTTCGATCCTTAGGGAAATAGTATTTGACTCCTAAATCCTCATTTCATCTTTGCTCTTCTCTGGCCCTTTCTTCAAGCAACTAACCAGGGGGACCCACCACGTCTTTCCCAGTCCCATTTTAAAAAAAAATGAAAATGAGAGAAAGAGAAAGAGAGGAAGGAAGGAAGGAAGGAAGGAAGGAAGGAAGGAAGGAAGGAAGGAAGGAAGGAAGGAAGGAAGAAAGGAAAGAAGGAAGGAAGGAAGTTAGTTTATGCCTGTGTTAGGAGAAGGAACTAACTGGGTGTAGACATCTCCTCTCCCAGCTGTGTTAGCTCCTTGTTTGGTTAGCCTCTTTTAGGAAGACAGAGGGGAACCTGTTAAGGAAAAAAAAATGTGTATACATATATATATATATATATATATATACATACACACACACACACACACACACACACACACACACACATATATATCTATGTTTAGATATGTTCTATGGATGTAGGTTTAAGCCAAGTTTATTTGGTCTAGTTCTAGGTTCAAATCCTAGCTGAGATGACCTTGAACAAATCACTTCTCTCTCAATCTTACTTTTCTCAATAGTAAAGGAATTGGGTGAGACTTTTGAAGTGCCTTCCAGCATTAAGTCTCTTATCCTTCTAGGCTGCATGACCACGTGCTTAATCTTAATCTCTCTTCTTCAGTTTTCTCTTCTGTGTGAAGCCCTTGTAATGCTATCTAATGTTATCTACCTTCAGGGTTGTTTATGAGGAAAGTGTTTTGTTAACATTATAATGCTTTGCAAACAGTGAATTACTCTTATTGGACTTTGGTAGAAATGAAACTTCTTCCATACTCCCTGTTTCCTGAGAAATGTTTGGGCTCCAGGGCAAAAAGAATTCGGAGCATGGATTTTTGGGGAAAAAAAAAACAACACTGCAAGAGTTTCTCCAGTGAAGCCAGTAGTAGTCCTAGGTGAAACTCCTCCTTTTGACGGATGAGAAAGGGGAAGCCCAGGGAAGGGAAAAGTGACTTACCCAAGGTTACATTTGCATTTATTAGCCTCCTCTGATTTTTAGGTGGTGTTGAACAGTTTTCCTAGTGGCTCTTTACTTCTCTGGACTCCAGCTCCCAGAGCCCCCTTTCTGGAGCGTTAAGTGACTTCCCTCTTCTAGTCTGGATAACCCAAGCCCATTAGCATACTTATCTCACTGGGGTCTGGGCTGTTGGAAGGGTGCATTCATGGGTGTCTTTTTTTAATCCAAGGCAGTTCTAGCCTTTAGATACTGTAGAATTCCCTCCTTTTTCAGATCTATGGGGATATAAAAAAAGGCATACATGAATCCCTAGGTATCCCTGGACTGAGGTGTGGAGAAGAGATGGAAAGTTGGGAAAAATGTAGAGCTGTCTGGAAGAGCTGAAGTGAGTGACAGGGTTTTTATTCTGCACCTGAACCTTGAGTAAAGGAATCACTAGAATCCTGTATCCTCCAAATTGTACCTCTCTACCTCCCCACCCCCACCCGATACCACTCCCACACCCAATTTGGACCCCTGGACTCAGTTTGCATCCCCTGTAGTAGCCGTCTAGTACCAGACTAGGGAAGGAAGGGGAGAATAATTTCAGTTTGACTAAAGCAGACTGCCCCTCTGGGGTTCTTCGGGGTATTGCTTTCTTTGGTATTTTCCTGTGTGCATTGGCTTGAGGTGGAGGTGGTATCCCCAAGGTTACAAAGAGGTGGAGCTGGGGTGGTATGAAGTGGGGTAGAAATTCTGAAGTGAGTTTGGAGAGAAGCTTGGGACAGTTTCCTAACCTCCTAACCTCCTGGAGTAGTAACTGAAATGATCTAGTTCAATCTCTCTGCTTCGAGGCAGAACCACAGCTAACAGATTAGGAGGCATAATATATTCTGATCTAGCAACTTTGGGGTGGAGGTGGGGGGTACTTTGGCTTGGGTACAACTTTGCTGGAAAAAAACTCAAACCCAAATCTTAGCAAATCCAAAGCAGGTCTCTTCCTGTATTTCCTCTTTTGGTGGATTTCAGACCCTGATCTCCCTTTTTTCCCTTGGTCAAGCTGACAACCTTAACCCGCCTCCTGCAGTTGAGATAAACAGGAAGCAACTAAAAGGTAGGGAAAGGAGTTTCTTCAAAGAGAGATGCTGTAAATCGGGATGACATGATATGATCTGTCCTTTGCTGTAGGTCCCCTCTCCCCACTTTGGTCTACC